GCGGTAATTCCACAGAACGTCAACGAACGGTAACGTCCGATGTTGCAAAGTGAACTGGCTCACACGTTGAGTGAATTATTTAAGAGCACGCATATACGCGAAACTCCATCATTCGCCGGCAAGCCGTTTAAAGCAAGCGGTAATGTTATACGACCCTCAGCCAGAGGTGGTCCGGGAACAGTATCCGAGGACCGCAATGTGCGTTCGAAATGTCAATGTTCATGTATCCTGCAGTTGACATGTCGACGCGCAATTAGCTGCGTTCTTCATCAACCCACGAGCTAAGTGATCCACCGATCAGGGTGATTTTATATATATTTATACATGTTTTGATCGTGATTTCCTCGAAATCGTTTAAGATAACTCGGGCGATTCTGAAACTAGTATGTTTATTATGGTTACAATTAGTACACCGTAAAGCTTTCGCTTTTCGGTCCGAGATACGAGACCTCGTTTCAAAATTGAAATATGAATATTTCATTGTGTGTGAGGTTGAAAAATCTGCTTTCGCTGATCTTTCATTTTCTTAAAACAACGCAATGAAACGAATGTTCAAATTCGCACAATTTGAATAAAATGTGCAGAGTATATAGAATACCAACGCAAGCGTTTACTACAATCGACTTTAAAACACTAGACTTTCATCTAGCGCCCAAAGAATTGATTGAGCTATGCTTTTAAAGTATAATATTCAAAAAGAACGCCGTTTTCACAACGAACTTCGTCATTCGCTCAGGCATCTGGCGATACCGAGCAGATATACATGGCAGTGCTCTCACACAATGCATAAGAGCGCTAAGCGGTTGTAAACCGCGTCACGCTGCTTTTGCACACAGCGCAATATTTTGCGACTAGCTCCGATCAAACGTTAATGAAACGAATGATCATTGCCAGAGGCTTTTGCCCACAGTATACTATACTATGGGAGCGCACTTGATTACAGCTTCTATAACCTAACCGCACTTTGCATTTTGACAAGTTAACAACTACACAGATTGCTCTATACTATCTAAACCATAAAAGATACGAAAAAACTTTTCTCGTACGAAAGATGCAGAATAAAATTACGAATAAAATAACTCGATATATGTCATAATAGACATATTCAATTTTTCCTTTAAATTAAAAAATGTTTTAAATTTTTCGCTGGCTTTAAATTTATTTGCGGTTTATGTTTTTTTTACAATATTGTTTCAAATGATGTAAAAAGTTAAATTAGCGAGGTGCCTCAATATGCAAAAAATTGGCCTACTCTAATATATATATATATATATATATATATATATATATATTTATATACTAGATGACCCGACAGACGTTGTCCTGTACCCAACTCTGCATTTTTTCAATATCCTGTACTAATATTCACCGTTCAGTTAAAATTAATAATTATTGTTTTTCGAATTACTATTTACATCAATAAATGAGTGAATGTAGAACTGCTTCAAATAAAATGATGATTCCCAATTACCACAGTTAACACTTTAATTATCTCTTTAACAAATATTAAAATATGTTCAATAAAATTATATAATATAAATTAAACACTGCAATTTATAGTACAAATTTATTTCCAATAGCTCAATTCATTTTAATGTCAAGGGTTATACAATTTTTTAGTCATACCTGTAGGTGTGGATGTAAAAATGAATGATTTTTTGTTTATTCACGACTAAAACATTGACTTTCCAAATGTATCACACAAAAAATCATCGCCTGCCTTTGTGATTTATAGCATAATTTACACGTGTTGAAAATTGAAGTTTTTTAAAGGGTATAACAAATTCAGAAAGAATTAATAAATAGCGTTCCCGGTAGAGGTACAATATCACATTGGTTTTTTCTACCCAAAATAATGGCTTCAATAATGTTGCCTATAATTTTTATATATTTGTACCATATTTCAACTGGCTTTTAGTGATTTTTATATCTAAATTACATTTTTCTCGCTGATGAATTTATATACTTAAGTTTATATTTGAAGTGAATTAATTTTTCAAATCCTGTTCACATGTGCTCTATTCAACCTACTATCAACAAAATTGCAGTAAATGGAGAGGAAAAAACCGTGTGTCGGAAAATATTTCTATGAACTAAAACATTCTAGAAAATTTCCCGAACAAACTTCAGGAAGATTCATGAAAATCCGAATTATAGTTTAGGAGAATTAATGAAACTTACATTGTTACAGAAGAATTTTATATATATATAAGATATATATATATATATATATATATATATATATATCTTATATATGAAATTCTTCTGTAACAATGTAAGTTTCATTAATCTTTCTAAACTATAATTCGGATTTTCATGAATCTTCCTGAAGTTTGTTCGGGAAATTTTCTAGAATGTTTTAATTCATAGAAACATAGTTAGATTGTAGAAATAAATGGAAAAAATTACAAAAAACCGCTTATCATTGATTGACCTTTAAAATATATAAGGCATGGTTTGACATTAAAAACAAATGACAACTGTCATTTGCCAAACATTTCTATTCACTTATATGCTAAGGCAATATTAAAATATAATAAATTCATGATTATAAATAAAGAAAATGTAATGTCTACATTATTATTGTCGAAAAGCAGCTGAGATGTGCCATAATTAAATTAATATAAGATGCAAATAATATAACATGCATCTGACAGTCTGCGCATGCGTCTGACGCGCACGGCGAATCGTGTTCTCAACGTGCGCGTGGTTTGCTTTTGCTTGCAATAATTTTGTTCGCGCACTTTGCGAACAGATTCGCCGTACGAATTCGTGCAAAGGAGACGAGCCATAAGTGATTGCGCTCAAAAATATTCAATTTGCAGTCGTTTTACCTTACTATACTAAGTCACAATGCAAAAAAAATTACTTATTCAAAAAATTATTTAGAAGTTTCATTGTGTCAAAAATTCATATCGTTGGCATTTTGTACGGAATATTTACTCAATAGAGCGCTTTGGGTCTGAACTTTTTTTTACTGTTTACCAATTCGTTTGGAATTTTGAAATTAGGCTCATCTTACTCTCAAGTTCAAAAGTGAAAACAATTTAGACTCCTTTGCACTACCCGGGGGGATGCCATTTCTTTTCAGTGGTGTAATAACGTTGGGTGTGGATAAAAGAACTAATTATAAGAGCAAAATGTTTAATAATGTTTTACAAAAAAGCAAATACCTTTCAAGTTATTGGCTACTGAAAATTTGTTTCTTTTTTGCGTTTTTCATCGTTTTTTGCTAATATCTTCAAAAATATACATTTTAACGAAAATCATGTAATGAACAAAATTATATCAATTAAAATCCTAATAAATCGCTATTTTACAGTGTTCTGGGAACAATATTAAGTTAATTATGAAAATGGGTATTTATAGTTCTCAAAATAAGCTTTAAAAGAAGTACTCCTGCGTGTAAAATGAGTGAGCTGTCATGCAATTAAAAGACGCATACAATGTTTTTCTTTCATTTAAATCAAATAGTTTATGAGTGCCATTTCTACCAAAATTAAAAATAATCGTTTTCCATCTAGAATTAACTTGGTTTGAGAGATCTTGATGGATTCTAGAAAATACCATAACATTAGTACAAACGATTTTCAAAAAAAACTCATGATTTCATAAAAAAATCCATTTAAAAAAACAACCAATTTCTCATTATAATATCCCTGAAAGAATACGTATAATAGTATATATATATATGAAAATTCAAGGTAATTTTCTGACTAATTATTGCTTTTATTATTTTTTTGTTACACAAATATTGATAGAGTTCTAATTGTTTAAAGAGTGCGCGGCTGTCTAACCGGAGTGTCTTTCGAGCCCTTTAACCTTTCGCCGTTTCAAAATAAGAGAAGTTACGGTAAAATTTATGATAGAGAAAGTTGTAACTCATTTAATCACCTTTAAAATAATATATTACAAGTTAGGATAAAATCAGAATTAGAGTTATAATCCAATTAATGTGCGGGGTGTTGTCGAAATGCAAATTGTTTTCACTTCTTAACTTTAGATTAAGATTAGCTGGGCATACGTTTTTTTCCTCTCTATTTACTGCAATAATTTTGTTGATAGTAGGTTGAATAGAGCACAGGTAAACAAAATTTGACAAATTAATTCACTTCAAATATGAACTTAAGTAATAATGTATATTGAATTATTAGTGTGAAAAATGCAATTTAGATATTAAAATACTAAAAGCCAGTCAAAATATGATACGAAATTATAAAAATTGTAGGCAACATTATTGAAGCAATTATTTTGGGTGGAAAAATCCAAGATGATATTGTACCTTGACCGCGCATGCTATATATTAATGCTTTCTGAATTTGTTATACTTTTTAAAAGATTTCAATTTTCAACACGTGTATCTATGCTATGACAATAAATACATGGTGATAAATTTGGAATATCAATGTTTTAGCCGTGAATAAACAAAAAATCATTAATTTAAACATCCACATCTACAGGTATGTCTAAAAATATTGTATAACCCTTAAATTCAATAAAATAAATTGAGCCATTGGAAATAAATTTGTTCTATAAATCGCAGTGTATAATTTTTAATATATAATTTTATTGAACATATTTTAATATTTATCAAAGGGATAATTAAAGTGTTAACTGTGGGAATTGAGAATAATCATTTTATTTGAAACAGTACTACATTTAACATAACCCATATATTGGTGTAAATAGTAACTCGAGAAACAATAATGATTATTTTTAACTGAACGGTATAAATATTAGTATAGGATATTAAAAAACATAGAGGTGGGTACAGGACAACGTCTGTCGGGTCATCTAGTATATATATATAAATGTTAAATGTGAACAATACAACACTCAGATTTTTAATACACACTTTAATTAATAATTACAGACGTTTCGAGACCATGGTATGCCTCATCTTCAGTGTAATTTTAAAACAGTAAAAATTATATACTATTACATTTAATATTGTTCACTATGAATATATGAATAGTAGATGACAGTAGATCTAGTAGGCGTTGGGTAGTATGTAAAACAAGTGGGAAGCGATATCGATGATTGTATTGTGCCAATAGGGAAAGAGCCAATAGGAGTGTGCTATGAGTAAATGGAGAAGGTAGATGATAATGATGATGTAGATGCAGAGTAAGTCCTTAAGGAGGAAATTGTTAGGGCTGAAGAAATAAAAATTCCATTAAAAGCAAGTGTTTTAACAAAGACCGCATTAGTGAAGAGCCCAATAGTGAAGAGTCTATTAGTAAAGAGTCCAATCATGAAGAATCTTGTGAAGAGCCCAATAGTGAAAAGTCCATTAGTGGAGAGTCCAATCGTAAAGAATCCTGTAAAGAACCCAATAGTGAAGAGTCCAATCGTAAAGAATCCTATTGTAATTATGAAGAGCCCAATAGTGAAGAGTCCATTAGTGAACAGTCCAATCGTGAAGAATCCTGTTGTAATCGTGAAGAGCCCAATAGTGAAGAGTCCATTAGTGAAGATTACAATCGGGAAGAATCCTGTTGTAATCGTGATGAGCCCAATAGTGAAGAGTCCAATCGTGAAGAATCTTGTGAAGAGCCCGAAAGTGAAGAGTCCATTAGTAAAGAGTCCATTAGTGAAGAGTCCATTAGTGAAGAGTCCATTAGTGAAAAGTCCAATCGTGAAGAATTCTATTGTAATCGTGAAGAGTCCAATAGTGAAGAGTCCAATCGTGAAGAGTCGAGTTGCACTTGTGAAGAGTCATCGAGTTATGAAGAGTCCATTAGCAAAGCGTCTAGTTGTAGAGAAGAAAAAGGAACATGGATTTCATGCGAGAAGAAATAGAGAAGACTCCAAATACAAATGGTAAATAATTGGGAATGATGGTAACTCGGGAATGACTAAAGGCAATGGAAATGATTAAAGAAATTCGAAAACTACATTCTCGAGGACGAGAATTGATCAGGATAGCCGAATGTTAACTATGAATAGATGACAGTAGATCTAGTAGACGTTGGGTAGTATGTAAAACAAGTGTATATAATGCGTATAATAGAGAACGTAGTGTAATTTGGGTAAATAAATAAATAAGAGAACATTGTGTTTTAATAGAGACGATTAGAGTTAACAATATTTTATTTGAATTATTTTTTTTTTAAACAAAAAACACCAGCTATCTCTTACGATGCTTGACGTAGTAATAAACATTTGAATGTGTACAGAAATATTTAAAAACCAAATCTTAAGCGTGTAAGATAAAGAGACACGGATCGATATTATTATAATGTAAACAAAAAGAAGTGCGCAATCGCATACTAAAATCAACAAATGTGAAAACAGATTAATTTATTGAAGAGATTAAAATAAATGAAAGAATTATAAATTATTAATGATGTTTATATAGGAGTCGTGTAAAATATTTGTGTCGGTTCTCAGATTTACGCTATAGTTAGTCCGAACAAATTCATAAATTAAATATAGCATGCGCGCTAAAGGTACAATATCACCTTGGATTTATACCCAAAATAATTATTTCAATAATATTGCCTATAATTTTTATAATTTCGTACCATATTTAAACTGGATTTTAATATTTAAATATCTAAATTACATTTTTCTCACTAATAATTCAATATACATTATTACTTAAGTTCATATTTGAAGTGAATTAATTAGTCAAATCCTGTTTACATGTGCTCTATTCAACCTACGATCAACAAAATTATTGCAGTAAATGGAGAGGAAAAAAGCGTGTGCTCTGTGAATTTTTTTACTGTGCTCCAATGCACTTGATATTTTGGAAATAGGCTAATCTTTATTTTAAGTTCAGAAGTGAAAACAATTTGCACTCCGTCACCACCCACCGCATTGATTCGATTATTACTCTTTTAATTCTGATTTTATCAGAACATGTAATATACTATTTTAAAGGTGATTAAATGAGCTACAACTCTCTCTATCATAAATTTTACCGTAACTTTCCTTATTGTGAAACGGCGAAGGATTAAAGGGCTCGAAAGACCTCTGGTTGGACAGACGCGCACTCCTTAATCAATCATACTTCTATCAATATTTGTGTAACGGAAAAATAATAAACAACAATAATTAGTCAGAAAAATACCTCAAATTTTCATATATATACTTTTATACGTATTCTTTCAGAGATATTATAATGAGAAATTGGTTGTATTTTTAATGTTTTTGTTTTCATGAAATCATGAGTTTTTTAAAAATCGTTTGTACTAGGGTTTTGGTATTTTCTAAAATCCATCAAAATCTCTTAAACCAAGTTAATTTTAGATGTAATGGAATTGTTTTTAATTTTGGTAGAAATGGCACTCAAACTATCTGATTTAAATGAAAAAACATTGTATGCGTCTTTTATTTGCATGATAGTTTACTCATACGCAGAAGTACTCATTTTAAAGCTTATTTTGAGCACCATAAAAATCCATTTCCATATCTAGCTTAATATTGTTCCTAGAACACTATAAAATAGCGATTTATTAAGATTTTAATTAATATAATTTTGTTCATTACATGATTTTCGTTAAAATGTATATTTTTGAAGATATTAGCAAAAAACGATGAAAAACACTAAAAAGAAACAAATTTTCAGTAGCCAGTTACTTGAAAAGTATTTGCTTTTTTGAAAAACATTATTAAACATTTTTCTCTAATAATTAGTTCTTTTATCGATACCCAACGTTATTTTGAAAAAAGTAAAATTACACCACTAAAAAAAATGTCATCCGCCCGGAAAGTGGCAAAGGAGTCTAAATTGTTTTCACTTCTGAACTTAAGAGTAAGATGAACCAAACTCCAAAATTCCAAACGAATTGGAAAACTGTAAACAAAAGTTCTGACCGAAAGCGCTCCATTGAGTAAATATTCCGTACCCAATGCCAAACATATGAATTTTTGACACAATGAAACTTCAAAATAATTTTTTGAATTGTGACTTAGTATAATTTTTTTTTGCATTGTGACTTAGTATAGTAAGGCCAAACGACTGCAAATTGAATATGTTTGAGCTCAATCAGTTATGGCTCGTCTCCATTGCACGAAATAGTACTGCGAATCTGTTCGCAAAGTGCGCAGACAAAATTATTGCAAGCAAAAGCAAACCACGCGCACGCTGAGAACACGATTTGCCGTGCGCGTCAGACGCATGCGCAGGCTGCATTACTTGTCAGACGCATGTTATATTATTTGCATCTTATATTATTTTAATTTTTGGCACATCTCAGCTGCTTTTCGGCAATGATAATGTAGACATTAAATTTTCCTTATTTATAATCATGAATTTATTATATTTCAATATTGCTTTAGCCTATAAGAGAATAGAAATGTTTGGCAAATGACAGTCTTCATTTGTTTTTGATGTTAAACCATGCCATAAATATTTTCAAGGTCAAACAATGATAAGCGGTTTTTTGTAATTTTTTCCATTTATTTGTACAATCTAATTATGTTTCTATGAATCTAAAAATTGTAGAAAATTTCCCGAACAAACTTCAGAAAGATTCATGAACATCCGAATTATAGTCTAGGAGGATTAACCATTCATACATAGTTACAGAAGAAGTTTATATATAAGATATTTATATATATATATATATATATATATATATATATATATATATAAGGATGGGTCTATTTACTAATGAGGTAATATTTAGTAATATTGGCAACTTTTTATATGAAATATATGTGTTGTTTAAAAGAATTTTGACTGCAAACCATATATCGCAAATAACTTTTTAGCCAGCGAAATGTTCAATAAAATACCGTTTTTAATAAGTAAATATATTAATTTAATCATATAAAAAATTTGAGTTGTGAGTTATATTTTCTTTAATAGATTGTGTGTGGGTTTTTAAATCGGGTTTAGTTTGTTGTTATTCATTTCCATCAGAGTGCGCTAGTATATTTTAGATTTAGTTCTCGAAACTTTGATCACATTATATTATATTATATTAATGTGACAAATCCGCATAACTCTTTCTTCAGTTCTTCAGTTAAGCGAGAAGTATCAATGTAAAAGTTTCATTTAAATTCAGGCGCAAGTACCAGTAATTTGAATCATATGCGATCGCTTGATCAAATTACATTTGGACAAGCAGAAGAATTTACAGGAGTGAATCTTCCGGCAAGTTTGGAAATTATCAGGTATTATTTTTATTTGGCCCAAAACTCAAAAAAAAATATTTTCATATAAAACATATACTCCAAATGTGGTAACAAAATTGATTCAGACGTGAGAAAAATTGATATTCCAATTATAGAGAATCGAAGTATCGCTAGAAAATGGAACCGATTGATTGATAAATATAAAAGTACAAATAAAGCAAGACTACCCAATTATCATTCCAAGAGTTTGTGCAAGACTACCCAATTATCATTCCATGACAGAAAATTAGAAAATGCAAATGCGATTTGCGAAAAATACTGTGTTCTTGCGGACTGATTTTACAACATTTACAAGCGTTTAAGGGGTTAGGGGTACTTGGAATTTTTGAAAAATCGATTTTTATTTTTTTGCATTTTCATTAAATGTAATATCTTGAAAATGTTCTCTGAAAATTTCAAGTTGATCCGCTGATTACTTTTTGAGTTATTGGACTCTTACCAGCGCGTTGGCGCAATTGCAGAACTCGATACTGATACTCAAGATTATTCTCTCTCACCTCCTGATGTTTTAAAAGCGTTTAAACCGATTTACGACGATCTCAGCAATGATAATTTACTTTCAAGATGTGTAGTTCAAGATTGAATCCATAATCAGAAAAAATTAAAAGCTTCAACCAACTAGTGTAAAAAATATGCCTAAAAACCGTGAATACTAGTTCTACTATCGTACAAATTGCTGAATGCATATACATAATCATTATTATTGATTATGGATACCCTAGGACCTAATTGTGGGTATAATTTCCATTCGTATGCTGAAAAATTGGATGCTGCACGTGTGAAAGTGGCAGATCAGCGCACTAACGAGAACACTCTGGAGGCCAGAATGCTTCGTAGGCAACAGCAAATGGAAATTTTGGAAACTTGCACAATGACCGATGAACTATTATATGGCCCAGAAATAGATGACTCGGTTTAAGTAATTCAATAATTCGAATGTCTGTACGTAAATCCAATGTGAAACTTTAAACGCGTTTTTCTCAAAACTATGTTTATCGAATCGGTGACCACTGCAACTCAAAAACCGCTTAGTAGATTTTAATGAAATTTATACAGCTTTTAGAATACATAATAAACTCGTGCCTGATCGAAGGATTTTCATTTTTTCAAAAATTTGAAATTTTAAGACCAATTAACTGTTGATTTTTTACCCAAAAATCTAGATTTTTTCTTTCTGATGCTGCCATTTTGTTAATTTCTGCAAAAAAAGGAAAACCATCGATCCGGCCCGGGATTAACTATTTATAAAACTATTTTTTGAATTTGATTGATTTTAGATGAATCTCCAAGGAGTTATGGTGGTCACCGCCAGGACCGTTTTTCGAAACAAAGTCAACAAAAACAGCTATAACTTTGCAAATATTCATTTTTTTTCTGAAATTTTTGTTACATCAAGTCAAAACGTTGTATAATAATGCTGTATTAATATTTTTGTAGAAAAACATCGTTTAATAAAAAAAAATACTGAAAACACTCATTTTTTGTGCCTGCAAGTACCCCTAACCCCTTAAGACAGATCAACATAATGAGAGCAAATCTACGATATCAGAATATATTACAAAAATTGAACATTAAGTATCAACATCTATAATAACTAGCGATTTTACTCCAGGTGAGACATATACTTCAGTTGTTGTTTTTGAGTTTAAAAACAGTTCGACAAGTTCACAAAATACT